GAGACAGCTGGCTAGGCCACAACGGATGGGTGGTTGGTAAGGAAGGTAACCAAGTGGAAGACTAGAATGACAAGGGATGGAGTTGAGACTAAGGCCAATGCATAGCAGCTCCTCTCACACAACGACAAGCATAACAGGTTGTTACTCACTCAGAGACATTTCAGATATGTCCAGTCCTTCCAGGGTTCTGTGATTTGCGGACAGGGTAGGTTAGTGCTATTATTCAATTTCCATTCACCCAGATTCCCTCAGATGCGAGGAGCACCTCTGGCTCTGCAAATAGTTGCACTGGGGCATGCTAAGAATGGCTACTAGGCGAAAAGCTATGCCCCGGTCCTCCTATCCTGAGTTCCATTAACCCTCGGTGCACCTTTCCACCCTGATGAACAGCAACTTTACAACCATCCTCAAGACAAGCATTGTGAACCTGCAGCCAGCTTATGACACTGCCCTAAAAACCAACACATGGCAAGAGGGTGTGGATGATCTTTACAGAAACACAAGGTAATAGGACAAAAATTGCCCATGTCCTTGCTACAGTAAAATCCCCTCGAAGTGAAAAATTTTTGATTCACATGAGGGAACAGCAAGTTGGTGCTGAGATCTGCTTGAACAGCATGGTGGGGCTCATCAAGACACTGAGGAGAAAAGTGTAGAAAAAAGTCAACACCATTTGGTATTTAAACGGCACTGAGCTGCAGATGGAGTTAAACATTTGGAAAATGATACGGCATGGTTCAATCTCATACAGAGGTATGAGGCCTGGGAGCAGCTCAGCCTCCACCTCTGCGTCATTAGCAGCACCTGAGTCATACCCAACAGCAACTGGCAAAGCATGGCTATCAGTTAAAAGATTTCACAATGCAGTCAACACGCCGGCTTGAAGTCAGGCCCATTGCAACTCATATTCACTGGGTTTAAGCATGTCCCCACAAACAGCACAGGCACACACGTGCATGTGCACACACAAGTTCATGCACTAGAATCTAAACCAAGTGTATATGATGCCCCAACAAAGGTGCACATGTGGAAAAAGAGGCCAAAGCAACCCTTTGAGAGCCCTGAAAGAATGAGAAAAGTGCAATTGTGTGTGTGTGTGGTGCTGAGGTTTGAACTCAGGGCCTCATGCTTGCTAGGAAGGTGCTCTACCACATGAGCCACACCCCAGCCCTTTTTCACTTTACTTAATTTTTCAAATAGGGCTTCACGTTCATGCCCAGGTCAGCCTGCACCACCATCCTCCTATTTATGTTTCTTCTGCAGCTGGGATGACAGACACACACCACCACACCCAGCTATTGGTTGAGATGGAGTCTTGTGAACTTTTTGCTCTGGCAGTCCTCCAGATCTCTGCCTGCTGAGTGGCTAGGATTACAGGCACAAGTCACCATGCCTAGCAAGAAGTATGACCTTAAGCAGCACGTGAATACAGGTACCCATGACTGCCAGGAAAGCCCAGAGAGAACTAAGGTTCTCCTGTTCTGAAGAATCCACTGGGAGGCAATCCATGCTCTGAAAAGGCTGTGCCATTGAACAAACATTGCAGGGCCACAGATGCAGAGAGCTCAAAAATTTTAATAATCAAATCTAACTGCCACATGGTTGAGCTCATCAATTGCTACAGAAATCATTGTGAAGGAGGCTGAAAATACCAGATGAGTGCCATGGTGGCTGACTCAGCCTCTTCAAATGTGACAGACAAAGTATCAGGCCAGTCATAAGGCAAACAAGCATTGCTGCAATCAGCACCAGCTCGGACACTGACCAGGGGACAAATGAAGCATGTCACTTGTCCTTGAGGCAGTATCAGCCTCAAAGTCACTTAAGTCTGGGGAGAAGTGACTAGAGGCATGATGGGAAATATATAACAGACAGAAGCAAGTGCCATTGTAAGATAATAAAAATTAAGTCATATATGAATTAACCATTTTCAAGTGTGTTACAGTCTTATTTCCAGTCTAGGTGACTTTGTTTATCTACATCTATATACTTATCTCTCTATATACATTTGTGATGAAATGCTAGCCTCTTTGAAACTAAATTATATTTTACTTAAAGGCAGGGGGTTATTTTTCAAGCATTTATTTAAATGTTTGGAACTAAAGAAAGAGATTATTTTATCGAAGGAGACTGGGTGGTTAGAAGACATAAAACTCAGGCGATGCCTTCATGTTGAGAAATCTATTGCTGTCGAACGGAAGCTGGAAAGGCTTCCAAATGGAAATGACTCCATGTTTGCACACTGTCTGTGAACATGCATAAGGTTGCTGTAATCTTTCTGTTTTCTAGATTTGGCCAAGTGATGTGGAACAGAAAGTAATTTGGCCCCAGTATCAAGAGGAGGAAAAGGAAGCAGGGAAGTGATTCCTGTGTAGGAAGAGGTAGCCTCCAGTCTTTTAAGCAACCAGAAAGCAATCACAGATAAGGGTGTGCCTACATGCTTAGGTGAGGGCAGGTGCTTGCTTGAAGAAGTTGGGCTTTCTAAGTTGTAGAAAGCCAGGGGAGAGAGATTCAAAGTCTAAGGTGAAAAGAGAGGTTAAAAAAAGAGAAAGTATTCATTTTATCCACAGTAGTGGAAGTGAGAAGCCAAATGAATGTATAGCTACATTGCATTTCCTTAAATATTCTGGTTTGTAACATTTCTTGACAAAATATTAGTCAACGATTAAAGCTTATGCAATTGAAGATTAGCTCAAAGTGTTAATTAAAGGTTAACAATTCACTATTTTAAGTGAAAAAGGAAAAAGAATCACCAAAAGAAATTGTGTGCTATGATGTATGGTATGACTTTATCATTTGTGTCTATGGAAAGCCAGGGATGACCAATCCCACTTGCTTGGCTGGTGAATATCAAAAAGTATTCTCAAAAAATCTTGCAGGTGTTACTAACTCTGGTCCTGATGACTCTGCCGGACCCCAGGTCTGCAGCACATCCCTGCAAATGGATGCCCTCTCAGGCTCCTTCCTCACCTTGTCACCCATCCTGTCCCTCTTCCACGGCTCCCTGTCCTGCACTCTGCTTTCAGCCTACATCACTGACTCTCCTTACTCTCTCAAGGATCCCATTTAATCACTCCATCAAATCTGTCCCCACCTTTGCACTTTGTTCAGGTCCCAGGCCTCTTTCGTGGACCAGGCAGGAATCTTACTGCTCTGGGTTCCCATATTCCAGTCAACCTCTGCCATCTCTTAGGACCATCTTCTGGTCTTTGATGAGTCCTGTGGTCTTTGATGATGTATCCAGAACTCCCTCAGAGGACTCTTCATACTGCAGCTTCCATCGCACCCCACACACGCTTCCTGAGCTGTAGACACACCAACCTTCTTGTTCTGCTGGACATGCCTTGTCTTTGCTCAGGCCTCTGCCTGCCATGCCCTTTGCTGAGTCTCTGCCTCTCCAAAGCCTACTCACTGCTTCCCACATGAAGCTCCCTTCTCAAACCCTGCCTGGGCAGAAGCAATCTCTCTATCCTCTGTGCTATCATGGCACTTAGTTCTTACATGGGTGGAGTGCTTATCACAGCACACTAAGGCTGCTGGTGGGACTGTCTCAGCAACCAGATCATGGACTCCTTTGGGGCAGGAATCAGGACTCAAAGCTCTCTCTGCTGAAAGCACCTTGCAGAGGGGCTGGCAAATGGCATGTGGTTAATAATCCTTATTAAGTTAGACTTTATCTCTCTTGTCTCCTCAAACGAGAATTAACCCGATGACGGCTTATTCAAATGGAGGGCTGGTGAGGAGAAAAAACACTCACACATAGACACTTACAATCTGAGAACTAGAACCAAAAAACCCCTCCCCATATTCAATGGAAATTCTGAGAGAAAAATAGATGAGTGAAATCTGGCATTTGCCCTTTACAAATCTAACGCTACAAACACTGTAATTTACGATGTATAATTTGGTTGCTCATAGAAATCACCATGATTAGTGTTCCAAATTTAGAAAATTTTAAGGCATTTGACAATGCATGCTGCAAATGAATGTATGTACACAGAGGACAGCTAAATGTATACTAAATATTGCAGTATTATTTGTAAGAGATAACCGCACAGATCGTAAGCTAGCAACTGAATGGATTTTCACCAAGGAAACACAGCATGTAATAGCATCTAGATCAGCAAACAACATTCCCAGGCCCCAGAAGTCTGCTTGGGCCTTCTCTAATCACTGTCCTCCCCCTCAGGGTAACCATGATGCGACTTGCAACATTACAGATCCATTGGACCTGTCCTCGTCATTTGTATAGATGTGATCATACAGGATGTCTGGCTGCCTTTACTCAATATTATCTTTTGAGATTTAACCATATTGCTGTGAGTAGCAGTAATTCATCCTAAATCGATAAGGGTGGCTGTTTCCTAACTTGTATTACAAATGGAGCCTCAGGTATTGAGCCCTAGGAAATCTAAATTTCTTCATGCCATGTGGGAACTACTTGAAGTAAAAGTACGTATCTTCAAGTAAGACAAAAAGTCGTCGGGTTTGTGAACTATGAACTCCATGACATCAAGCTGTCGTCTTTCTCAGTAAACATTTCTAGAATGAAGAAATAAATGAAGCAGAAGTACTAAGCACTCTTCCAGGGGAATAAAACCAAACTCACTGAATGCTTTTGCCAATTCATGATTTTTGAAATAAGTCTAACTTTCTGACCTCTACAAACAATTTTCAATGCATCTTTTGGTGCCTCTTTTTTGCGGGGCTGGGGGAGGGCTTTTTCACAAACATTTGAAAAGTACAGTTTGAGAGAATTTATTTTTTACTCTTTCATGTGTTCTAACCACAGATGGATGATCTGCTGAAGTGAGTGTATAGGAAGTGATATGATGAGAATAATTTCAGGATGAATTTATTAAACAAATAGAGAAAGATTATCTGTGTTTTCCAAAGGGAAAGGACATGGCACCCACAAGGTCTATTGCCATATTGCTTTATGCACTAGACACTCATCAAATCACGCTACCACTCAACCACTTCCAAGTTCAGTCACATACCTTGGGGATTAAAGAATCCAGTCATCCAGAACACATTAGGCCTCCCTTCAAATATCCAAGCAGAAAACTGAGCATTTCTTTCCAAAAGTTCCGTGAACCAGAAGCCCAGTGTGGATGAATCCCAGGACACCCTTCTCCAAAGCTGAGGTATACGAGCATCATACATATTGTCCAGGGCATCTCTCAAGTTCTGAAGAAAATATGTTTAAAATACGTGAAGAAGAAACAGCAACCGAAAAGGGAGATGGCTGCTGAGACAGTAAGAGCTCACCTCACTCATGATGATCGTTCCTTCAATGGCCAATTTTAGATCACTCAGGCTACTGCGAAGTATTGAGATGACCTTTTGCATCCTGTCGATTTCTTGTCTTAGAAATATGTTCATTGAATTAAGATGCCCCATCTTTACCAAACGAGCTCTCACCTAAAACAAAGTACACCACACAAAAAGGAAGTTTTAAAGCCATCTATCATTTCTCTTCCAGTGACCTCTCCATTCTCAGTTCTTTTTCTTTCTCTAGATATATCTCTAGCAGACCAAATGAACTCTAAAATATCTCTTGCAGAACCAAACTTGCCATTAAGTTCCCCATTTTCTGAGCTTCAAAAACCACTGTTCAACTAAAATGATTTTTATTTCCTACTGATTGTACTTAGTTGATAATTGGAAATGTACTTTACAAAGCTGAAAGAAAATTGTACCTGCTTCCCCTTTCAAATGATTAAGTATTAAGTGTCAGTTAAATATCCTTTTGCAATCTAACCTTTGTAAGAATACAGGGAGATTTGTAGAATTGTTATTAGCAATGTTACAAAAAGTTAATACAGCCAAAATCTTTACAAGTACTTACTAATGAATATTTCTGAGATCATGATTGCCTCGGCTATGGTGGCTACAAAGGAGTCTTGCCTAACCTAATCAATGAAAATAATTCTGTGGGAAAGCCATTAAGCACCTGTCATTTGCTCCTTTTGGTATATCATTTATTGACTATTTTAAAGAGATCAATACAAAGGTCTCTGCTTGTGGGAACAATAAAATTCAACAACTATTGGAAAATAAGCCAATACATAGTCACATTTCAATTTAGTGACATGTGCCAAAGAAGAGATTGATTACAAATACTGGCAAGAACTCATACATGGGTTAAACTTTCTGCTGGCCACAGTCCAAGAGATGGCAGAATAGTAGGATAAGGATGGACCTATGGAGTGGGAGAGAAATTATGGATGTATCAGTCCAAAGAATCACCAGGAAGTCAGTAATGGTAGAATTCTCTGCCAGAGATGCCATACTCCTTCTTGAGGCACAGATAGCTTCCAGGTCACCTGGACGAAACCCCCCATTTTACAGAGCAAGTCCTTGGCATGGGACAGACCTTCCCTTCAGCAATGGACACCTGTTGTTTACTGATCATTTTTAGCGAGTGAAAGATGAAGAGGGTGTGATAGTTAATCTTGATTGTCTGCTTGACTGGATTGAGAGAGATGCCTAGGGGATTAGTAAAGCATGCTTCTGGGTGTGTTTGTGCAGGTGTTTCCAGAGAGGATGGACATGTGGGAGAGCAACTGAGGAAGAAAGACCCACCTTCAATGTGGGTAGCATCATCCAATAGGCTGGGAGTTCAGATGGTATAAAAGTGGAAGAAAAGAAAGCCAGCCAGTGGGTGCATGCTTCATTCTTCCTGAATCACTGGTGCCTCTTATTCTGAGGTTTCCAGCTTCTTGAATTGAGCAGGTACCAAGTTCTCTGCTTCTCTGGTGTGCAGATGGCTGTTGTTGGACCATCCAGCCTCCAATTGTGTAAGCCAACCTAACAAATCCCCTTTTTACAATTATATACATACACACTCCATCGGTTCTGTTCTACCAGAGAGCCCTGACTAACCCAGGAAGTAACAAATTCCAAGGGAAGCAGTGATGTAAAACTGAACAGCCTGAAAGGGATCACCTACGTGGGCAGAGCAAATGATACTAAATCACCAGTCCAACAGGCCAGGGGAGGCCCCTGACCCATACACAGACCTTCCCGTAGTGTCTTAAATTCCTGGCTCCAGAACCTATATTTTTGAAGTCTCCAGTGTTTTCCTGTCATCTCCATCTTGAGCCCTTTAACCCTTAGTGGCTGGGTAGCATATACATCCCTCTCAATAATGATTATTCTGTGGAAATTCACTCTTAAGGCAAAAGGAAATCACAGAAAGACTTTTGCAACCCCACAAGTGGAAAATTAACCCCAAGTATTGACAATGATATAAAATCAATAGTCCAGGTACCTTTAGTATGCTGATGGCCCAAGCAAACTGTCCTGCCCTGTGAGAAATCTGCTGGACATGGTGGCACACACCTATAGTCCCAGCTACTTCGAAGGACAGAATAAATGCTTGAGCCCAGAAGTTCAATGCCAGCCTGGGCAACACAGCAACACACCAATCCAAAAAAATTAAATTAAAATAAGTAAAAGAGAGGGAAAAAACTTAGATGCTAGAAAATGTAATTTTAGTACCAATTTTACTTTTTGTATGATTACTGCTCCAGCATAAATTGTGTATTTACCAATAAAATTAACGTGGTCTTATGTAGGATTTTCATTATGTTTCTGGGTAGGCTCTTCTATAGTAATGGAACTTCATTTTTACTGTGGAAGCTAATGGTATAATTATACTTCAATTTATAAAATCCACTTTACTGTCACATTTTCAGGAATACATTTCTTCTAAAATAAAAGACACAAAAAGTAAGCAGTCTTAGAACAGGAAAATATAGATGTCTCTTAGCACAAACTCCTTTCCATGCAGAAATCTACTTGGTGACACTGACTGTTACTGTGGTGACACCACAGATGCCAGACAGAAGTAAAGTGGCCCCGGCTGAGCCTGGAAAACTCAAACAATCAGAAAGCAGGGCTTAAAATCTCCCTTTGGTAATACCAAGTAAGTTCTTTTTTTTTTTTAAAGACAGAGTTTCACTATGTAGCCCAGGCTGGCCTTGAACTCTCAGTCTTCCTGCCTCAGCTTCCCAAGTACTGGGATTATAGGTATGAAGCACCATACTCAGCTTAGAGTAATTTTATCTCACTTCCATGTGGAAGTTTTATTTTTTCAGTGTTGGGATGGACCCCAGCAGCTTATGCATACTAGGTAAGTGCCCTACCACTGCTTCACACAAACATTCTGCCTCACAGGTATTTTGTCTTCCCAAGATTTTCTTTTATGAAGACCACACACAATAAATGTGGAAAAATATGTCTTTATCTATTTACTCATCGAAAAATACTTCTTCTTCACAGTAACTGCTCCTCATGAAGTCGTTCATTTGGCTATCTTAACCAAATGCCATACCATCCACACAGTGGAAACAAAAAAAATAATTTAAGAGACAAGGAAACGCTGTGTTGTTGGAGGCCTTCACTACATGGTAAAGCTGGCTAAGACTGAAAGTTCTGGAATCAGATCACTTTTGTTCAAATTCTTCTTTATGCCTTTGCTTGGTTTCTGCTGGTGCTGTCCTGAGGACTGAGTACCATCATGTGCATAAGACACTCAGGACAGGACCCACGTGCAATGAGTGCTCAAAAACACCAGCTGCTGCCCCATTATGACCTACTTCTAGTGACGAACATGGTGCTTGGGAAACTTCAGACTGGGGGCTTGATACTTATAAATGATATCCTCACTGACTGTTCCACCCTATTATCTCACTTCCAGAAGTAATTAAAAATCAATCTAGTAAACAAGCCATCTATCTGTAGTGAAAACGTTGTAAGCTTTTGAAAGAGTACCAGTCACCAACACCTCTGCTCTGTGGCCTTAAAGATATTCGAGTGGATGTTTAGCACAGCTTAAGGCATGGAAAATGTTGGTATACATCTGGGTCAGTGTGGAAGCTTTGACTGAGGAGCAATTAATTCGCGAAGGAATTTTAAAAAGAAAGCAACAAAAAAGTATCACCAAAAATAATACCCCCCCAAGAAAAATCCCAAATATAAAAGGAAGTAATGTTTTCTTTGTTTTTAAATTTTGAAGAAATGACTAAGCTAAATGAGCAATGAGAGATGCAGAATTTAGTGAAACATAAACAAAATTCACTACACAGTACCTGCCAAATAGTCAATGACTAACAGATTACTGTTTTTCATGCCAAACAGACTTCCGTGTTTAAGCATACAAATAATGATCAGATTAGAACTGCCCAGTCAAATACACCGTCTCCATAATCAACTTTAGGAGAAAAAGGACAGCAAGAGAGCTAAACGAAATACTTTGAAAGAAGTCTCGGTAGCAAACTATGGCCTCTGTGTTCCAGCTACAGTGGGAGGCCTTGTCACCCAGGTAGCCTTGGGGCTCCCAGCTGTCAAGGGCATCTTTTCCTAGACTTGGGGATCCAGAATGGTGTCGACACAGGACCACATTCACCCCTGCATTAGGGCATTGGCTTCTCCTTTTCAGTGAGGAGCTAAATTTGACTCTGACCAGTCCAGGACTTGGGTGATGCTATGCCCATCAGTGGGGAGGGACAGAGGCTGAGAACAGGAGAGAGAAGGCTGTGGATGGCCAGAAGGCACAACCCTTCCTTCTTGCATGAAGAAAGAGGCCAAGCTGAGGACTCTTGATAGAACTTCCAGAATATCCATGTATTTGGGTTAGCAGCTCTCAAAGTATGGTTTAGGTCCCTCTGGGATCCTTATGGTAAGATTAACCTTTTCTTCTTCATTATACTACTGTTAGTTGACTTTTTTTTTTTTTTAGTCTCTTGAGTATACAGTGGAGTTTACCAGGAACTACATAACTTATGATGTAACACACTGAATGCAAAAGCAAATATAAGAATAGAGTTGTTAGCAGGGCCCATGGGTCATGCCTGTAACCCTAGCTACTTGGAAGGCTGAAATCGGTAGGATTATGGTTCAAGACTAGCACAGGCAAATAGTTTGCAAGACTCCATCTACAAAAAAATAACCAGAGCAAAATGAATTCAAGGTGTGGCTCAAGCAGTAGAGCACCTGCTTTGCAAGTGCCAAGCCATGAGTTCAAATCCCATCCCACCAAAAAAAAAAAAAAAGAGCTGTCTTCTACTAAGCAAGACATTAAAGAGATTTCCAAAATGGTAAACCAATCCCAATCTTTTTTGGCAGTGCTAGGATCTGAACCTAGGGCCTTGTGCTTGCTAGGCAAGGGCTCTACTACTTGAGCCACTCCTCCACTCCTTTTTGCTTTAGGTTATTTTTCAGATAGGGTCTTTCACTTTTTGCCTGGGCCAGCCTTGGGCCATGGTCCTCCTACTTATGCCTCCCAAGTAGCTAGGATAATAGGTGCATGCCACCATGCCTGGATTGTTTGTTAAGATGGGGCCTTGCTAACTTTTTGCCTGGGCTGGCCTCAAGGTGCAATCCTCCTGAATAGCTAGATTGAGCCAATACACCCAGCCAATCCCACTCTTCTTTATGAATGTTTTAGTCTTGGAAAATATATTTATTTTTTAAAATAAAATGTCATTTATGTTAACACATAATGGGTTTATTACTGTTCTTTTAAAATAAATTAATATTTTAAACATTAGCATAAATTTCTAATATTTTAAATATAAAACATATTATAAGCAAAAGTTATCTGGGATCCTCAATCATTTCATAAAGGAATCTTATGCTAAAACAATTTTGAGAAAGCTCAACATGGTGCTGCACACCTGAGGTCCCAGCTATTCAAGGCCCTGAGCTCAATCACCAGCACTGAAAGAAAATAAAAGTTTTTGAGAAAGCTGATTTAGATACACAAGCTAACACTTGGGAGGCTGAAGAAGTAGAAGATTATTGTCATCCATTCTGGGGATGGGTTCATTTAAATGGCACCCTTTCCCATTATTCCCTGACTATGAACACTAAAGGAATGAAATGTATGGAGCAGGAGATAAAAACAAAAGGTAAGTTTAAAGAATGGACAAAAGCTAAGCACTGGTGGCGCCCTAGCTACCTGGGAGGCAGAGATCAGGAGGATCATCGTTCAAAGCCAGCCCAGGAAAATAGTATGTGAGACCCTATCTCAAAAATACCCAACACAAAATAGGGCTGGCAGAGTGGCTCAACTGGTAGAGCACCTGTCTAGCAAGCTGAGGCCCTGAGTCCAAACCCCAGTACCGCCAAAAAACAATAATAATGGACACAGCAAGCTGGGGAGTTGGGGGGAGAGGTTCCAAGACCAGATGGTGATGATGCCTGGCACCCAAAGACATGAGCTTAAAGATGGAAAGGGGTATAGTAAAGGTACAATGGAGTACAAAGGGAATGGAGAAAGATGCCACAGCAAATGGAGACCATAATTTACATGATGCTTGAGAAAGGGTAAGGAAGAGAAGACCAAAGGCCAAAGGAAAGTTGAAAATAAGGAAGGAATGAACAGAGAGAGGATTGGACTGACCCATACTGTCCCAGGCCGGGTTCAGCTTTGTGGGACCCCAAGATAGTCCCATATACCAGTGGCAAGAGCATGGCTTACCTCGTGAGGAATATAATCAGGGGGCAGCTTGCTCAGCATGTCTTCAGATAATCTGTAAACAATGGCTTCTCGGGTCTCTCCCACTCCACCTCCACTCTCCTTGGGCTGAATGTTGGTGATTGTTTCGAGGACAGCGGAAGCAGTGTTACTTTGATAGCTGACAGAAAGAGTGATTGTTCAGAAGGTAGCAGGGAAACACAGCCTTGGAGATAATTATCAAAGCTAAAACAAACTGATAGAATCCCTTAGATCAAAGCCAGCCCCCCACTCCAAAGAAAAAAAGAACAAGAAGAAAGGGAGGGAGTGAGGGAAAAGAAAGGAAAAAAGGACAGAAGGAAGGACAGAAATAAATAAAAGGAAAAAAACAGGAAACGTTACTACCAACCTTTACAGGAGTGAAAAAACCTAGGTGTCCTTTCTACTACCTTCTAATGGGACACTGAGAACATCACAGAAATGAAAAGCTCCCCATACTCAGGGAAAGAGTCCACAAAGGTCCTTGGCAATCCAAATGAGTGTTTGACAACCCTGACCATCACTGGTCTAAACACACCTCAGGCTGGGCAATGTGCCAATCTCCTTTTATGTCCCTGAAGAATCTGTCATTGGTTAGATCAAAGAGAACCACTCATGTTTCCTCACCAAATTGTAAATTATCAAAATTTCTTTGGTTTTCTGATTTTTCCATTTGTCTTACAATTTTCAAGGTGATCTGTTGTCATCCATTTGCCCCACCTTTAACAATCATCTTGAAACAGCCACCATCTTTTAAGTGAGCCAGGTGCCAGGATATGGCAGTGAGCCACAATGTCTTACTGTCCCGTTTTCTAGCAGAGCAAGTGAATATTACACACCACCACTGTAAGTGGTGCTGTGCAGAACAAGAACAAGATGCTTTAAGCAGGTTTTGTCTATCTTGCTTGTTGGCAATAATGGCGCCAATAGGTTTCAGTTCTTACTGCACCCTTAAGCTCCTGTTTTCCAGGGTCATGGTCCTGCCTCAAGTCTAGCTTGAACCCTCCTTCTGCCCCAACCTCCAATCAGCATGAACCATAAGATCCTAACCAATCAGATCATGCTGAGTCCCACTGAGGGGTATTTAAGCCCCTGCCCCTCTCTCCCTCTCTCTGGCTCTCTGCTCTCTCCCTCCCCAACCCGGTAATAAAGAATCTCTTGGCCAGATCACTCCTCACCACGTGGTCATTTTGGGGCCCACGTTTCCTTACATTACTCTCCATCTTTGGCTATTCCAGGTTGACCAGATGCTCTGAGGTCCCAGAGCTTAGCCACTGTCTTTGAGATGTTGGATTGGTCAGATCAACCTCTCTCTCTCTCTCTCTCTCAATCTCTCTCTCTCTCTCTCTCTCTCTTTCTGTCTGTGTGTGTGTGTGTGTGTGTGTGTGTGTGCTGGTGACAAAAAACCAGTTAAGTCTCTTAAAAAAGACACATGTGAGCTGAGATCTGAAAGATGAACAGGTCAGCCAGGTTGGGGAGGTTTGAGAGGCAAGAAAGGACATTCAGATAGGAGGTGAGGGCTAAAGGTAAGAAAAGTTTTAGTGCATTTGAGAACAGAGACAAGGCCAGGAAGGTAGGGGCCAGGGAGCAAGAAGCCATGAAGATGGAGGTGAGGCAGCGGTGAGACCATGCAGGGTAACACAGGCTAGTTTGAGGACTCCAAACACCACCCTACAGTTTGGCAGATTAAAACATATTAAGATAGATTAATCATATAACCCAATAATTTCATTATCTACTCAAGAGAAAAGAAAAGACATGTCCAAAAAAAGACTTGTACGAGAATGTTCACAGCAGCATTATTCGTAAGAGTCCTGAAGCAGAAACTACCTAAATGTCAGCAGTTGAGTGGATAGATAAAATGTGGTATATTTGTCCCCTGGAATGCTATTTGGTAATGAAGTACACACTGATTCATGCTACAACATGAGTGAACTTCAAAAACGTTATGCTAAAAAAAGGATCTAGATATAAAAGACCACATAGTGGAAAAGTCTACTTACAGGAAATGTCCAGAAAAGGCCATTTTTTGAGACAGAAAATAAATTAGCAATTGTCTGAGGCTGGAGGTAGGAGTGGGGATTAACTACAAATGAATATAAGATTTCTTTTTGGGGTGATGGAAATGTCCTAAAATTAGATTGCAGTGGTGGTTGCACAACTCTGTCAATTTACTAAAAATCATTTTATTGTCCCCTTAAAATAAGGAACACAAGATTTATTTATCATTAAAACTATTTCTCAGGGCTAGAGATGTAGCTTGGTGTAGCATGCACAAGGCCCTGGGTTCCATCCCCCGCTCTGCAAAAACAAAACAAAAAATCATTTTTCTAGAAAAGGGGCAAAATAAGATTGCCAGAAAAGAACAAAAAACTTAATCATCAACAGGCCTTCACTGGAAGAATCTAAAGAACAGACTTCAGAAAGGAGAAAAGACTCTGATGGAAGACTCCAAGCATAGAAAAAAATAGGCAGTGCACAAAGCAGTATAAACAACATTGCCTGCTGAGTAAGACACTAAGTATTTGTCTACCTGTGGGATTAGAAAAAAAACAAGATATAATTAACTCCTGGACTACCAGGAGGGGAATGACTGGCATTAAAGTTATCTAAGAGATTTAGATTGATGAGGATATTAAGTTTAGACTTAGTTAAGAATGGATGTGAAGGGCTGGGGGCATGGCTCAAGTGGTAGAGCACCTGCCTAGCAAGTGCAAGCCCTGAGTTCAAACACCAGTGCTGCAAAAACTGAGGCAGGACATTTGATATTTATTACTCATATTTTATACACAGGTTTAGATATTCTTTTACATTTACTCAATATTTGCTGAAGCAGTTTTTACTAGAAACAACCAGACAAGTGCAGAATAGTATTTGTAACAATAAATCCTGCCAAAGTCTCTCAAAATCTATACAGCCCATAAAAATGGTGACATAGTTCTATGTTCACTGACAAGGTGGGGCGTCATTAGGCAGTCACAGAATAAAATGCATGGTACAAAATAAATGATATGATCTTATATTTGTTCTAGAAAAAATTCAGAAGGGCATTCTGCAGTGAGATTTCTGTACAATAGGTTTTTCTATAATTATCGCTGTCTGCTTTACATTTATCTGTATTGCTTATTCTTCTCAGTAAGACAGTGTGATTTTTTTATAATGGAGCATTAAAACCATTTTCATTTTGAAAAATAGAGAAAAAAATAACCCCCCATAGACAAAGCCCATCTCAAGTGTCAAGAACTCCACAGAGATAAACCAGTGACAAATGTTTTAGGCCCACTGAAATGCACCCTTTGAGCCCTTCCCCTGTGTGCTCCCCATATAAGGCCCTCTTCTAACTTTTCTCCACAGCACAAGGAAAGAGAATTACACCCTTTTCTTTCTTCATTCCAAGGTGTGAATTAAACAACCTTTTGTAGAACTTGCTACACTAACTGTCAGAATCCTAAGGAGCTACTGCAAAAGTTACCCAGGGATCTTTGCCTATGAAAGAGCCCCATTTTGTGGCAACTGAGGGATACTATATAGCTGGCCTTTTAATTCATTTGGGAATGAGGTCAACAAATGGAGGACATGCTTCTATCTTCAAATTTTTATCTGAGTATCAGGTAGAATGCCACATGTGGACCCAGACGTGTATCCAAACAACTGCAAACCGTCCAAAAGTTGTGGCTATGGCAAATGCATATGGTACTGGACTTTCCATCAATACGGGGACTATGAGATTCCTACTGTCAGGCTAGCAAACATTTGTCATCCCATCCAGAGTTAGGAAATTGCCTCTATATTACCTTTACACATGTGAGTTTCATAACCGGGGTTGATTTTTAATAAATCAACATTGACTGTGCAATATATATTTTTTATATAATTTTAAAAAGTTTAATTTTGTGGGCAATAATTATTTAGATGTTAGAGTTTTAGAATATGCCAAAAGATATTTGTTTTAAAATTGAAAGATGTGTATATCAAATATGCATATAGTTGAATATATGAACAGAGAACAAGACATTTTAGCAAAATGGCACAAAAGACACATCTTCTTCCTGAATTTTGAATTATAGTGCAGTCCCAGTGGGTATTTTTTAATGTTCCCTTGATATATAATAATTATATATATATAGCACAATTCTAGTTTTAAAAGGTCATATATATTATAATTATATCTATACATATATGTATAACACATATTAGAACCAAAATACAAGTAACTGAGGGAAATGTCTTATAAAAACAGCTGATGAGATAATAGCATGAAATTACCAGAAGTCAAGGATTCCCATTAGTATACACATTTTTCAGAAATTTAAATTTGCATGTGATTCATATTATTCCATGGTCTCCATCTAGAATTAGAAGCAGTAAAGACAGAACATGTGGGTGAACTGCTCTTGGAGAAGATGGAGGTGTCAGCAGTGCTGACATCTTACAAAGAGCTATGAAGTAACAAGAAAGCAAGGCTGGATAACATTAAATGTTTGTCTCCATCATGAACTGTGTCCACCTCCCTGGACTCCTAGAGCTCTCTGTGCCTTACCTCAAACAAATCCCAAAGCAGACTCATTATTTTAGTTCTGTTTTATCCCTCGCCTGAGCTGTTCCTTGTCCCATAGCTCTTAAATACATCAACATCTTCATCCAGTTGCTCAACCCAGAATCCTCAGAGATGGCCCCGTCTCTGACCTCATTCCCCAAGCTCTCTTGATTTCCAAGTTCTATTTCAAATCATTTCTAGCACTCACTCTCATTATCCCACTGCCTTCAGAAGGAGGTGACTACTGTAGTCACCTCCTCCTACCCCATCTCTAATCTGAAAACCGTACATTCTTAAGGCACAACTCAAATGTGGACTCTGTCAGTACCTTTCTTTGATCCAGAAGTTGGAATTATTGTCCCTTCACCTATGTTGGGCATATATACACCACAGCAATGTGTATGTATTTTGATTTTAGAGTTTACCAGATCATATTATGTAAGTGGTTGCCATTCAACCATTTTCCCTAATAGAGGATGAGCTCCAAGGGCAAGGACTGCATCTCACTCATCTCTACACCTCCACATTAGCCAGACAGTAAGTTCTCAATAAATACTTGTTTGTTGAATTGAAGCCACTTGGCTTGAATTTTATTAAGCTGCAAA